GAGACTCGCTGGCGCTGGCAAGAACAAATGCTCTTGACTGAAAGACAGTTGCGACCGACGACTTCTCCGCTGCTGCGCCGTATCGATCGACGGCTAATTGAGACGCACCTAGAGCAATAAAATTTTCATCTCTCACTCACAGGGTGTCTGATGCTCAGCGACTGCTATATTTTGATTATAGCTTGATCTTATAATCTATTATGACCTGAAGTGAATCGTGGGCAAACGCTAGCTTTTGCGATTTTTGTCGTCTCCCTGAACTCAGCATTTGAGTTAATAGGGTAGATGTTCGCAAATCCATCATCAAAAATAATATTATTATTAGAAAAGCAGGCAACGAATAATGATTTGACAGCTAAAATGAATTCCTTGGAAGGAATTTTCTTTAGTGTTAAGATCTTCTATGAGCCACGTAAAGGGTCTGCTAACGTATTAATAAAATTTAGCGGTAGACAGATATACTTTTGCCCTGGAGGACTATTGCCTATAGTAAACACGCGACTAAAAGATCGCACAGAAAAATTATTGGCAAACTCATCCATTATTCAACAAAAAACCATGATTCAAACTTTTCACCATCCTTCTCTAGATTACTCCGAACAAGCATTAATTTATTTTAGGTATAATGTGGCTACAATGAAGTATAAACATAAATTTAATAGACACTACTATCTAACTTCAAATAATGCACGATCCATGTTTTCCTGAAAACATAGAAAGTTACATCCCCTAGGGTAACTTCAAAAGTCATGAGCTGAACCATACATTCATCAATCCATCAATCATTCAATCAATCAATCAATCAGTCAGTCAGTCAGTCAGTCAGTCAGTCCATTCGTCCATCCATCCATCGTTTAATCAATCAATCATCCATCCATCGAAACATCCCTCTCTTCATTCATTATTCTTTCCTTCCTTCCACCCCCATGGTCTTCTTCCTTCCTTCGTTTAACTGATCAGCGAGTTACTAAATTGGGGCTGTGATTTCGGGAGCTTTAGCACGCCTCTGCAATGCAGTCAGTTTTAATTTAAAGCCTAAATGGTCTTACTTCTGCAGATAGATATCCTTTGAATAAAAATGCGAACATTTGTCGCGGATTTGATGGCGAGATCCAATAATATAAAGTGGTCTATTGAGCACGATTAGAACAGTTTGCTTCGCAGGAATGCTAAACAGACCAGTATTTGTTCACACCAGCTTTTGTTAAACTTTTATTTTCAGATTGTGTACATTAAAACTCGATTTTTGACCAGTGTAAAATTTGAATGCAAAATGTAATGGTTGTTTTAACCAAACGTTGGCAATATTTAGATTAACCAAATGAAAGTATTCAGCAGGTAAAGTGCGATTTTCTGCCTTAAAGGAAGTAAGACAAATAGGAATGGAGGAGGGAGGGAAGAAGGGAGGAAGAAAGAAAATTTATGACCACTGAGATATTCGCTACTCTTACGCTTTCGTTTTAGGCTCCCTTATTTACATGAAGTTCATGGTGCAGCGCTGATGCCGTCAGAGAGAATGCTTGGTTTAAAACGCAGATCGACAATGTTTCAAGCTTGGCGTAAATTTTCTCCTTTCCCAAGAGGGGTACTCACGTATCTATATCAGAGGAAGGAAAGCCCCTCCTGGGTTCGGACTGTTCTTCCTCTACTCTTTGGAACTCTCGGTTCTCAATCGACACTTCAAATTGAGCAATTTCGGTCTAGTAAAATTTTTAGAGTTCATTCGTAAGCTGAAGAACATATGGATGACCTAGATATTGATGGACACTGTAGGGTTGAAAGGCCGAATATCACAGAATTTCTGCCTTGACAGCTACTGCAGCCAGGCCTTCCGTGTAGCTTCGGACGATATCTTCCATATTTGGGAGGACTAGAAGCAGTGATTCTTTTTTACAAGCAAAATAATCAACAATCAACAACTCAAGTATCTCTTAGTTATTGGATTGGGATTAGGCTAAGCTTATTCGTTTGGACCAGAAAGTTAATATCGGCACAAGGTGGCATTTTAGTGCCAAGTTTTTACCAGTTATATATGCAAGATTAAATTACGTGGGAAAATTGTTTATCGATTTGAATGTTTTGACTCGAGGATTGGCACAATCATTCGTTTCTGCTGTTCTGAAACTCTGAAAGTACTGAAGACTACGGGAAAAGCTGATCTGTAGCACATTTTCATTTGTACTTACGGTAGATGAGGATCAAAGCAAAACGGTGTGTTTGATCCTTCTGTTCGAATGCATGGTTAAAATATGTTTCTTCTAGGAGAGATCTGCCTCCCAGACTTCAAAAGAATGTCCCCCCCCCGTTTATACACAAGGTCACTGTCGAAGAAGACTCAATCTCAGCAATGACTACGCAAACACCCAATGCTATGCCAAAGCAAAGTAGTCAGAAGCATCCCCAGGTTTTACGATAGTCACAATAACTTGTCTTGAAGTTTGGAACATTAAAAATGGCATAGCGAAACAACGCAAGTCAAACGATGGCAACACTGCGAAGGTAATTTTGTCTAGCTAGCAGAGTACTATGCTATTTAACCGATAAGATATGAGTATATTTTCAGATATAAATATGTTCACGGATAGTGTCATATCGGTAGGTGTCAGGAGAGGATTTTATTCTTCCCTGCCCAGTGAGGCTATTTGGCATCCATGCATCACAAGTGCTCAAATAAAATGAAACAGCGGCCTACTTAAATGATCCCCTGGACAGCTAGAAGCAAAAGGACAGTGTCTGTACACCGTGTAAATCCCGTATGAAACGAAAAATGTTATTTTTCCGAACGGCGGTACCGACTAGCAGTGTGTTAGTAAACTAATTAGAGCCGTGTTTACATTTTGTCTAGTTATGTATGTCATTTTCATACAGTCGTTTCCTTTTGCCTTCCTACACGAAGCGCAGAAGGAATATGAGCCTAAGTGTTACGTGCATGGTCAATCAATCAATTGAACATCATGACACGTGCAACCAATAGCGTAAAGGTTGGTTTGCTCGAACACAACACAAAAATACTGTCTTTTAGTAAGCTATATTTTACGGTATTTTCTCAATATGACCACCAATGCACAAACGAATTACTGTATCTTAGCAAACAGTACTGCTATCAGCACATACAGAATTCTCTCTGAGGAAGTAGAATTTGGAGAGTTCGACAGCAGCGTCAGCCACATCATCACGCAGCCATGGATGGTTCATGACGGAGAACAGGGCACGGAGGCATATCGCTACCGTTTTCCATGATCACCATGAAGTCTTGGCAATTTCATTGCTGAAAACACATTCGCTAACAAACCTACAGAAAACCCCAATGTCCTGGGACAGTTTATTTGGTAGTCCTTTGTCAATCAGCTGCTGTCTGTGGCGCCTTCTTATCCTGTTGCTGCACAAGCATTCCACATGGGT